TGTCAGCTGTCAGCACAAAGAACTGATCTATTATAGGTCAGAATAAATGAAAATAGTTCTTTAGTCTGCTACTAAGTAAGCCTTTTAGAGGCATGGTCTCTCCTTGTATGGACAAAAACTCTTTACCTATACAGTATCAGGCCAAATAAGCCCTGATACTTACTCTTTGATCATCTTAGGTTGTAGTTTACCTAGAATCCCTTTCTCATGTGTACTCGTCTAAGATTGTTCTCTATTAACATTGAAATGCTTGCTAAGTTTTGATTCTAAACACTAAGATGTTTAACTGTATAATTTCATGCAGTATCATGGATATGTTTATATGTTTATATATGAGTGTGTTTGTATATCCATCATGTAAATTTTAGAAAAGGTATTTTACGTGTATATATATTTTATAGGTAATATATTATATATATTAATTATGTAAATTTTGATAAATGTATTTTATATTGATTTTTACAGTTCACATGATACTTACAGATGATATATAGCATGTAAACTTTGCTAAAATATTTTATAAGTTAATATATCAAATATTATGTACACATGTTATCTATCTATATGTATGGTGTATGTATGTGTGTGTGTGTGTGTGCCCGCACGCATGATGTAAAGTCCACCAAAGGTATTATTACATCTAAACCCACTATAACCAGAAACACTGGTGCTCTCCCAACTAAAATGGCCCTCTTTGCCAAGAGAGCTTCAAGCAGCAAGAGTGTTACTAACTTCATCTGTGTGTTTGAAATCTTTCCTTCTCCTTTATACCCCACATATTGTACATTGGCGTTAGAAATCATTTATGCTTCAAACAAGATACTCATTTTCATCATTGTTGTAATTTCTGAAATTCAGTGTCCTTCCCAGCACAGATGCAGACAAGAGCCCGTGTGGAGGGTCCCCCTGACTCGGAATGGCACAATGCTGACATTCTGTTTGACTTTTTTATACAATGTCTCTGAACAGTTTCAGCACATGGTGAGGCACATGACAATATAAACAGCACAGGGAGGTCCTTCTTTGCGTTGTTCTAGAAAATTCCTCTTTCCTTCTGCTCTGCCATAAAAGATTAGCAATTCTCTACAGTAAGGACATAGGCACACATACCTTTGTATTTTCAAAATACAGAGTTCAGCAACACAGTCCAAAGAGACCTAAGCATAAAAAATTAAGTAGAACTAATACTGGGCAGCATAAAGATGAGAGATACTTGTTTTTTAAAAAAGGGAAAAAAAGCTTTGGCAAAATGTGTCAAGAGCAGAGAACTCAGAAGAGATATGTGAATGTGTTCTCTGGAACCTCTTCCTGCTCAAATATTATACAATATGCATCATGTTTTGCAGATCCCAAGTTAAAGTAGCCATACAAAGGTCACTCAGAGACAACTGGGAAAAGACAGTGAGCACTTCAAGAGTGAGGGACCATAGACCTAGTAATCTACTAGAGGTAGCCAGGTGACTAACTAGGTTCTGCAGATCATGAGTCAAAGTAGCCACACAAAGGTGATTCAGAGACAACTGGGAAAACACAGTGAGTGCTTAAAGAGTGAGGGACCATAGACCTAGTAACCTACTAGAGCTAGTCAGGTGACTCACCCAGTTTTGAATTTGAAATTTGGCTTGTCTCAAAAACAGAGAACATCAAAGTTAGATATGAAAGTCTATTCTTCGAGGGCATTTCAGGTGCCTTTTAGCTACAACGCAATGGGTTTCCAGCAGACATCATCTGCTCTTGGCACATATTTTAAAATTTACGTGTGTGATTATTGTTCTCATAGCATATAATTATGTTAGCCAATAAATACTAATGCATCTAATTCAGTTCCACAGGAGTGAAGATAATTCAGGAGGAGCTGAAGCTCCTAATTAACTCTTGCTTTCCTAAATTAGAATAATTGAAAAGAATAGGCTAGACCAACCTTTGATTTGAGAATGGAACAGACACACTGAAGGTATACTTCAATTTAATTATGAAATTATTTAGCTTAGAGGTCATCCTAATTACTATTTTAACCTCATGAATGTCTTGCTTTTTAATGGGAAAGTGATTCCTAAGGACCACTGTCACTTATATGACTGATTTCATGGTTTTTTCCAAAAGTATGAAAATTAAAAATAAATAACAACCAAAGTCTTAATCTGGTTTCAGAACATATAGTCAATCAAAACTCTTAAGGTTTGGGTCCAGCTGTATTCACATAGTAGTCAAAAATGTAAGTTATTTACCGGCTAAGTCTTGGTGGCTGTCTATAAATAAGTGAACTGTCTGTGTCTCAGAGAGAAGATGGCCCAAGCGAGAAACTTTGTGTATGTGCTTCATGATCAGTAAACTGCTGTCTGCACTGTCAGTGACTGTGAGTTTGTTTGTACAATAAGACTATTCAGACAGTAAAAACACAGCTAAATGAACCAATCAAAATGCACTACTACCTTTTATGGGAGGCATGTATGGAGATAGACCTAAAGAAGAAAGACCACGACAAGGAGAAATCTCCCAGCAGATTTTTTTTTCCCCACACAACAGCATCTTTGGAGCTTCTTTGTTGCATGATGTTTTGATGGGGCATCTCTCTCTCTCTCTCTCTCTCTCTCTCTCTCTCTCTCTCTCTCTCTCTCTCTCTCTCTCTCTCATGTTCTTTGCATATAAATTGTGACTTCCAGTGTTGTGTTTTTATGGGATTCCCATGTGTATGAATGTATGCATCTCTGCGTCTATGTGTTTCTTATGCTTTATCTTCTTTTTGTTTGTTCTGTCCTATTCCATTTTGCTTGCTTTTACTTTATCTAAATTTTATTATTATTCTTTAGGTGTTTGTTCGCTTTCTAAGGAGGGAGGGAGAGACAGAGAGACAGAGAAAGAGGATGGGAGGGAAAGTGGGAAGAACCTCATAGGAGTTAGGGGAGAATAAATCACAATCAATACTATGAGAAATAAAATTTCCAATATAAAAAAGGAGGGGGAAATTAAATAAGTCTTCAGGAGTGAAAAATAAAGACTAAACAACACCACTGCGGAAAACAAGTGCGTAGCAGCATTTTGTAGAAGGTAGCCGAATCTAGTGGCAAAAAAGAGATCTGCTATCCTGAGAAACTAGGCATGTAGCATTGTTGGATTGGCTGGAATGATAATATTGGTTAAGGTCTGATGACAATGTAAGCATCATTTCCAGGTGGCAGTTCAATTCTGTCCCTCTGCATCTTCAGAGTTGGTCATGTTTCCAGCATTTCTGTTCAGAATGAATTTTAGCTTTCCCCTGCTAGTGACCCTTCTAGAACTTTCTATTCTCTATGACTGACAAGCTAAAACCTCAGTTTATCCTCAAAACACATCCAGGACGTCAATGTCAAAGCAAGCTTCCCATAGCCTCTTATGATTGCAGGTCCCACCCCACCCTGGGTCTCCAGTGAAACAATTCTACCTGGTCTAGCTGAATTCACACACCATTGGAGAAGGTTGTTCAGAGTCTGCCACCTTCTTAAAAATCTATCATTGTCTTCCCATAGCAGCTGCAGTTTATCTTGCACAGTGCCAGGAGCTACTACAAAACAACTACCAAGTCCTTTGACTCCACTCCCAACAGCGCCCTTTCTTTTTCTGTTCCCTACGAAAACCACCATGCCTGCTATCTACCTGAAGCTCAGCCAAAGACTAAGAAATGAGGAACATGTGCACCGTCGGGCCTGGTGGACCTAACACTGATACACAAGAGTTCATTTTTGCCTTTCGCCTACAATATAAGTGCCAATCTCATTATACGCATAAGGAAGATGACAGGGATGTGTCTAAAAAGGATACTTCAATCTTAGATAAAGATAAGCAGTGAATGATTGACAAAGAAGAAGCTGGACGGCTCCACGAGTTGTTAAAGGAACACTGACCATACAATGGCTCCTGTTCAGCAGTAAGAGTGGGACACACAGTGATGTGTGTGTTATCAACTAGAAAAATAAAAGCATGTTAGGATCAAAACACAGTGACAAAGGGACCTACCTAACTTTAGCATCTAAGAATCCTGTTAACACAGAGCCCTGTAATGGATGTGACACTTTCAATACTTAGCCAGGTAGAGGATGCTCTTCAGTGATGGAATACCAGTTCCAAAAATGCAGATAATGAATGCAAATGCAGAAAAATATCCATGCACTAAAGTAAGCAAAAATAGGAAAGGAAACTTTAACAGTGTACCATTAGAACTAAAAACACAACCATTGATTTCACTCAATTCCTGTGAAACTGGAGAGAAATGGACATAGCCAGACTTCTGTAACAGTATCCACAAACTTCCAAAAGGCTAGGTGTGGTGGCAAATGCCTTTAGTCTCAGCACTTGATAGTCAGCTCTATGATTTCAAAGACAGCCTTCCTTGTATAGTAAGTTCCAGGACAGCCAAGACCTAGTTACAAAGAGTGAGGGGCAGAGAGGATAGAAATATAAAGAAATCAGTTTTTTTCTTTAGTGTGGGAATTGGACTGTTAGCAGTCTCGAGTCCTTTGTAGCATTTGTCATTACTATTAACAGCAATGGCAAAAATAGATGCTTCCTCAACAAGCAACACAAAGAATTGTCCTACAAAAGACAGCTCCTCACTGGAACCTTATACAGACATGCATGCCAAGTCATATATGTGGAGACTACAACAATGTGTAAGTGGATATCCTCAAAGACAGGTTCAAGGAAAACACACAGCAATAAATGAGCTATGCTGTCCCCTAACATCTCTGTGAAGCACCACTGTGTCATTTTTAAGGAAGATGCTGACAATACAAGTTTGAGAAGTTACTGCTGGTTACCTATTATGAGCTGAGAGTTAATAAGGACTAAGTATTCTTACCATGGTTATGGCACGAGAAGGTTGTGACTTATGGTGCACAGTGAGGTCTTACCAGATTGGGGTTGGGGTGCACCTTGGGCCACTTGTTTAAGGAATTGGAAAGAAAGAATGAGAGGCTCTAAGATACACTTCATTTTCCTGAAGTGATGTTGTGGCTGGCACCCACCTGTGGGGGCCGAGGCTTGTAGGGAGAGCTGCACTCCAGATCAGCCAGGATACTGGTCAAGGAATCGATCTCGGCATCCAGACTAGACCGCCTTTCCTCCAGGGTCTTGCCTCCAGGATTTCCCTGCTAAAAACATACATATTAAAATTCAATAAAAATCTATGGGTAACATTAGGAGTTCAAATCTCTCATGCTATAATTTGCTCTTTTGTACTGTTTTCTATATGCCATATTTTTTCAAAAGTTTTTTTTTTGGTGAAATCTTAATAAGGTAGGCAGGAAGACAATCATCAATTTTGACATATATGAAAACAGAAAAACCCTTGAAATGTTGTTCTCTAAAGCCATACATGTAGACACTCTGATTTAAGTAGAAGTCAGTGCCCCAATGCCTGCATTCAAGGACCAGAACCACTGAGGCCCTCAGAAATCGTTGATGATGGGTTACCAGAGAAGCAATGGCTAAGGAGGAAAAACTGTGTCCCCTAAGAAAAGTCAACACTTGGCACCATGAAGTGTGAAACTATATATTATCTGGTCAGTGGTTTAGGCACGTACGTGTGAGGGGAGCCTAAGGAAAGCTCATAAAACATGAAGTACATAGAGGTCACTTAGGACTGTGGCCACAGAGCTGCACAGGACACTGGCCACAGAGCTGCACAGGACACTGGCCACAGAGCTGCACAGGACACTGGTCACAGAGCTGCACAGGACACTGGTCACTGGTCACAGGAGGACGGCATAGTGAGCATTTGGAGTACGTGTGAGGGAGCTGGGAGCAATGGGACTTATGTACCAATATTATCTGCCCTCAGAAGCATTTACACAGTTCATGAACTGATTATCCCCTCCCCCCATATTTGAGTGCTTTTCCCACAATGCCACTTTCCCGGAGTCTCGGAAGTCATTTAAATGTGGTAAGGCAACATTGCTGGTGACTGATACATTGGTCTTTATTATGCAAAGATAGTCAGCACAAGCTAAGACCCCACAGACCCGGGTTTACACCAAGTGAACTGGGAAGGTCAGCTACATGTGTTTTGAAAACTGGGATTCAGCTTCATAGATCCTGTCCTAGATGATCACCTTACCTCCTTGTGTGTGAGCCCTCTTTAAATATGGGCACCTGTTAGCAAGTTGTAAAATCTCATGATTTTGCCACTCGGGATAATGCTGCTGAGACTACTGTCATGTTACCTTCAGTCTGCTCTGTTTACTTTCCATATCATATCGACTACCATCCAAACATCTTTTCCATCCATTTGTATACTGCCCTTCTGGTGCCTGCAGTAACGGCAAGGTTGATGAATGTAAAGATGTAACTTGTTTTCCCACAGCCTTTCTCAGGGCAAGAACTGTGAATGTTTCCATAGGCATTTTAAAAACTTTTATAGATGAATTCCATTTTTATATCAATGCCTTTCGGGTGAGGAACATGAGGTATACCAGAAAGCAGGAAGTACTCTACTATAGGATCTAAAATTGAAATCAAATGGTTCAGAGTAGGTGTGCCTGTGAGTACATTTATTCAAATGAGTAGCAGGCTGGGGAGCACACACTTCAAAGGTTGGATTGATGAAACCAAAAGATTACCCTTAGAACTCTGTCCCAGCCCACACTGGAAAAAGAGTGGTAAAAGAGGTAGGTTGTGTTTTTGTCAGAATCTGAGTTTCAGTATTATTCAAACTTTTAATTTTATATTATTTTATTTATTATTTGTGTGTGTGTGTGTGTGTGTGCATGCGCGTGTGCGCGCATACACTCTCATGTGGGTACATGTATAGGCACCTACAAGCCATACTCTGTATTGGAGGTTAGAAGATAACTTTGTAGAGTTGGTTCTCTCCTTCCACTTTTATGTGTCTCTGGGGATGGAACCCAGGTCATTGGACTTGCCCATCAAAGCATTCAACCACTGACTCATCTCACTGGAACATGACGAAACTACCAAGGCTGGTGAGTGTTTATTAGAGAAATAATGCTGATGTCTCTATCACAGGGTCTGTCTTTACCCACAGTTCAACAGTATCAACATCTTTTAAAAAAGGAAAAACAAAGATCTCTTTAACTTTTGAAATGTCAGAGAACATTCAGTATAGCCAGATCTGGCATTAGATCAACAGGCAGGGCACACCATGCCACAGGACAACTACTGAGGACCCAGGGAATTTGTTTTTCTTGTGTGTGAACCTCAAATTATCATAAGCAGAAATTTGGTGACTGCATTTATATATACACATAGCTAGCACAGCACATTGTTAAGGACACTGGATGGAAGTCTGGTTAAACACTTCTGTGAGCCATCACTTGTTCATCAGAAAAGTAAGGGACCATCACTTACCCTACCTCAGTCAGAGAGCTGCTAAAGACTTGGATAAGAAACTGGATGGGAACATACTTTGTAAAGTGCTATAATTACGATGATTTTCATAAATAGCATTAATTAGAGCAACCCAGTAACTATAAATTAATAGGTATAATATAGCTATTGTTAATTCTTCTTCTTCTAGAAGTAAGCATCACTCATTAAGTGTTCCCTTGGGGTACCAGCAGAACACAGGATATAATCAAGTCCAACTTCTATACATTACTGTAGCACAAAATACCCAACTGCTTATAGCCTGAGTCATGAGATTCTAACCACAGAGACTCAAGTCACAGGATTAACCTGAGCAAAACAGTGTAACAAGTAATTACGGAGTTCAGCCAGCCCAAGCTTGTAGACCTCCACCAGCAACAGTCTCTGTGCTCTCCTCTACACTGGGACTGATCCCCATTTCCCCTTGTAGCAACTGACTAACAAGTCCCAGCTTCATTCTAATGACTTTTACAGGAACAACTCCCCAGCCCCCACCCTCTGCCCTTGGACCTCATATAATAGCTTTGAGTCTCATTTTCATCCTCATTAGGAACAAGGAAAGGGCACTTTCTCCCTCCCAGATGTCTCTTCTTTTGTATCTTGGCTCCATCTCTGGAATTCTGTCCAAGTTCTTACACCAACCCTTCTTGATACTCTGAATCACTCTCAGTACCTTTACTCTTCACAAAGCAGTCCTAAGAGTATATTAAAGAATCCTACAATCTTACAAACATGTATATATATATATATGTATATATATATATATATTTAACTTACAAACAAGCTTCTTTCACATGTCAATCCCAACTCCCTCTCTCTCCCCTCTCCCCTGCCCCCCCCCACCCCTTACCCCTCAATGACCAATTCCCACTCCATTCACCAGGGAGGGTGAGGCTCTCCATGAGGGATCTCCAGAGTCTGTCATTTCATTCAGGGTAGGGCCTAGGCCCTCCCCCCAAGTGTCCAGGCTGAGAGAGCATCCCTCATTGTGGGATACAAAGTCCATTCGTGTGCCAGGTATAAATACTGATCTACTACCCAAAGCCCCCTAGGTTGCCTAGGCCTCCTCATTGACACCCACTTTCAGGGGGTCTGGATCAGTCTCATTTTGGCCTCTCAGTTATCAGTCTGTGGTACAAGATCTCCTCCTTGTTCAGGTCAACTGTTTTTCTGGGTTTCACTAGTCCAGTCTTGACCCCTTTGCACATCATTCCACCCTCTCTGTCACTGGGTTCCAGGAGTTCAGTTCAGTGCCTCTGCTTCCATCAGTCACTGGATGTAGGTTCTAGGATGGCATATAAGGTAGTGTCAAACTCATTATCAGGGAGGCACATTTAAGGTCGTTTCTTCACTATTGCTTAGTTTGAAGGCTGAGTAGGGGGAAAAATAGAGAAGAGCAGGAAGAGAGATATCATAACAGAGGGAGCCATTTTAAGTTTGAGGAGAGATCAGGCACTGGTGATATTTCCAGAGATCTACAAGGATGACACCAACTGGCAAACATGTCTTAATAGCACATTCTCACTGTGGTTCTGCCAGTCATCTAATGGTTAAATAACTTGCCAGAGGCTAAAGACCAACTAGGACGAGTCTCCTGATGCTCTGCCTGATGTTTGCTCTAGATAGCACATGCATTCAGATAAAGCAGACAATGTAATAAGTTCCCACACTCTTCAGTCATTACTAGAAAGATCTCATTGTCCAAATCTGCCTTCCCTGAGAAACAATGCCCATGAAACAATGCCTGAATGCATGTTATTTGGAAGTCAATCCTAAGGATACATGCTGAGGAGACAAGAAGAGTGACAACCATTCAGAAGGGTCAGACTGAGCTCATCAGCAATGTGGGCAACTCATCCATCCTCTAAGGACCTCAGGGACTTGTTCTGCTTGTTCTGAAAAACAACCCTCATGTCTCCTAAGCAAAAGGATGAAGAGATAAATCTGCTCCCAGGATGATTGGCCTCTATTCTTGTCGTTAGTTTGTAATTACTATAGGACTTTTTTTGTTGTTGTTGTTGTTTTGAGACAGGGTTTCTTTGTATTGTTTTGGAGGCTGTCCTGGAACTAGCTCTATAGACCAGGCTAACCTCGAACTCACCGAGATCCGCCTGCCTCTGCCTCCCAAGTGCTGGGATTGAAGGTGTGCACCACCAACTCCTGGCTGCTATAGGACTTTCAACTTCCCCATGCTTGAATCAAGAAATAGAAATAGTTACAAAGAAGGCCCAGCACAGAAAGTGAGGGCCAGTATATAGTGCTCCTCTGGGGTTTCTCCTTCAGTTCTTGCCTCCAGGGTCCTGCTGGACTTTGAGTTCCTGCTCTGACTTCTCCTGGTGAAGGACTGTCTGCTGGAAGTATAAGATGAAATAAACCCTTTCCTTCCCAAGTTACTTTTAGTCATGGTGTTTTATCACAGCAAAGGAAAACCCTAACTAGCACAACCACTAATCCGGGTATGCAGAGAAGGCAAATTCATGAGAGTGATTGGCAACAATTAGCATAGAAAAGGGCAGGCAGGCTAATGAAATGTTAGACCTAAAAGGCAAGGGGCACTCAAATAGCTCTTCCAACAACCTCCTTCATCCATGATAAAATTCTCATAAAGAGATGATTTGACCCATCTAATATAACAGCTCATTAGCAGTGCTGAAAGGCTAGAAGGTGCTCCCTCTTCCCCACACATACTCTGAAACATCTCCCATGCCAAAACACATAGATTGCATCAAAGGCTCATTTCAGAAGCTTATAAAATAAACAGGAAAGC